ATGAGGTATCATAGGCATCGAATGCTGCTTCTTCATTTGCTGGAAAGTTGATTGGCAACATTAGTTGGGTCGGGAACACACTTTTTCCTTCAATAAACTCAATACAAGGGCTTATACCGTAACCAAGAATTGGAGGCTCTGTTGATCCAGTAGTAAACTGAAGCATCTTTTCGAGGCTTACATTTTCTCTTCTTCCTGCTAAAGATAGGAAAAGTACAAACATATAAATTTGTGCATGCTGTAACCATTCTGAGACAATGTTAACATTGATAGGGATGAAATAGGCAGAAGAGAGAGAAAAAAGAAAGAATAAGGAACAAAAAAAGTTAAAACATGCACTGCATGAGCATATTGTAACTTAATTTTTTCAAAAGTCATTGTCTGACCAATAATCCCCACTCCCCGCCTCCCCATCTGTCTAAAGATCCACCTACTGCTCTTTTGATGAGACACAAATCACAAATTGTTAATTCTTTTTTTTAATGAAAATTATAATGCCCATCATGCTGTCTGGCATGGACTAATCAAAGGACAGGGCACTCTGATGTCACCATTTACAGGTTATGGTTATAGGGGATACAGGTAGCAGAATTATGATTTAGATGCCGAAGCATCTCATTACTGCTACATAATTAAAAAGTATAGAATATTTTAATTCTTACCTGCCACTTCGCGGACATACTTAACAAATTTCGAATACACTCCTTCTTCCACTGTTCGTCTGTTGGATCCACTTTCAGAAAATTTTGGCTTGAGAGTATGAAAGTACTTTTGTTGTTAGAAGTTTTTTTGCCGAGGGCCTCAGTAAGTACTTTAAAGTAGGTTTTGATCGAAGTAACTGAAATTATGAAAGAAAGTTCACTAATATAGTAAGAAACAAGTGGTGAAGTCGAAACCCACAATTCAGGCTGCTTTCCATTGCATTTATACGTCATCATCTTCCACCTAACGTATTTCAGTTTCCGTTTAGAATATGTCGCAAAATATAGATTGTTCAAATTTAAATTTACAAAAACATACCATTTAAAACTTTGAGTGCCTTATTTAAAATGTAATAAAAAATAACACCTGTGTAGTACAAACTTTAACAGTCAAGTTAACAGTCAAGTTTTCGACATTCGTTGTCACACATTTGTTTTCACAAATTTTCATAACATGTGTGAAAGACGAACAGGCATTTGTAAACCCATTTGAATGTGAAGGGCCTAGATGCTTTATGAATAAACACTGACACATTATTATTATTATTATTATTTATCAACGCCCTTTCCTGCCTTCACTTAAATATGGGTCTTTCCACAAAAATTAGAGAAAAAGTGTGACATGAAGTTTGTCTTTTATGATACAATAAAAAAAAAACAAAAATATAATATTTACCTCTACTAAACCTAATGTATCAAAGCCTCTCCTGAACTGGACCCTTGCTGGTGTTGCATTTGTTCCCATTATGACATTTTCACTTTCCTCTTCGGAAAGGAAACATGGCAGAGGTCCATTTTGTAACAGCGACAGTCCTATAAAAATAGATCAAATACTGGCAATCATTTATTATCGCACATGTCACTGTTACCCATCAGGAGACATTACACAAATAGAACAGGATAGAATTTAATGGAATAACCAGCTTTGGATCAAACTTTGTGGGAGAGTTGGTATGAGTATATATATTTATAACTGGTTGTTTGATTAAATGATTGTAATGTGGTAAATGTATGTAGTAAGTGCTGGCTCGTATGTTTTCAGCTCTATTTATGATTTTAAAAGATGCATACCTTTAAGAGGAGGTGCACTAAAAATATTCTCATACTTATTATCATATAATTAAAAATGGAAATCAAAAATGTTATCTTCAAGGCTTGCCCACTTCAAGTACATTATACTTTTGGGCTGTTGCCGCTTTCTTTCTTTTACCTATTGTTGTTATTCTCTTGTTAAATTTATAATTACATGTTAATGTTTACACATGTTATTATAAGAAACCAACAAATAAATGTTAATTGAATTTTAATTTGAATGTTTTTAGTGCACTTCCACATTAACATGTTTTGTCTTTAATAATAATTACCACACAACAGACCAGCTCCATAATAAAACTTTTTTCGAAGGTTGGCTGAATTCTCTATAATTTTGTAGCGTTGTTCGTCTACTTCTTTCAGAATATTCCTTTCGTCTTTCAAAATTTCCTGCAGCATTAAGACAAGAAACTCTTTTCTGGGGCCTCCTACATCTGCAGCTTCTTCTCCATAAAAAGTGACCTCCATGGGATATCTGAAGTCCTCACTGTCGACAAGTTCACTCATACCCGTTTCCAGAATATCGTTTCGTGAAACGAATATCGGCAACGTTTTCCCTTCAATTGTACTGTCTAAACTGTCTTGGTCTAGGGGTCGACCCTTTAAGAACAGCTGCTGGTATACCTGTAACACTTCCACTGGGTCCTCCTTATTTTTCCTAAAAACAGAAATGCCATACGGGTAATAATAATACATTACTACACTCGGATAAGTAATATATATGTATACATAGACATAGTGAAATATGTCTAGGTACTGTAGGCTATGCATTTCTACCGAGCGTAAAACAAATGCTAAATCGTCCTGTCGCTCATGAAGTAACATTTTTAACTTACGTTTCATTCAAGCATCTTTCTACTGCGGATTTCACAGTGGAGACTGAATTAGAGTCAAGATCATCTGCTCCTCTAAAAAAATGAAATATATAATCTTTAAAATTGTTATATTTTCTTTGTTTCTTTACGGATGCAGAACTGATGATGGAACAGATTCTGCTGATGTGTCCTCTATACCAAGATTCAAAATTATGGTATTGGTTCCTTACAGTTATATTTACTAGCTGATCCTTCTAAAATTTCCAATCTACTTCCGATCGAGATTGCCAAAACAACTTCTTTCAGTAGAGCGTCCCATATACGAAAATTTGGTAAAACAAAATTTTCACAAATTTATGCTTGATTTTCCCTTTTAACTAGATTTCCTGTCAAATGTACTATACACTGTATTTATTTTAAAGCTTATAAAAGTAAATTATATCTTTTATATACACATGTGGGTAGACTTACTGTACCAGTGATTAATTTAAACTTTCCAAGCTGAATACCCTCAATTAAGTTCCATTCAGCTTTGATTTGTACAATGTCAAAAAGGATGTAGCCACACAAATTTCAGGGTGGCAAAACCTTTGAAAGTTGCCGAAAATGTTTAAAACTATGATCTTTAATCAGTTTTAACTCTTAGGGTGGGTGCTGTGCTAAATTTAGGGTGGATGGAAGGCCATGAAATGAGGTGGGTGGAAAGTTCTGAGAGTGGGTGCTGCCGCCCACCTCCGCCCAGCATAATTACATCCCTGTGTCAACAATGTGTTTTAATAGAAATAAAACTTACCCAGTACTTGATGGGGAGTCCAGCAATACCTCTGGAATGTCAGAGTCATCATCTATTTCAATCTAGAAAAGTAATGTTTGATCAAGTTGAACATTTAAATATAACACAAAGTATGGTTAAAGGAGCGTGCACACCAAACACGAATTCGTATACGTGCATCTATTCTTTATCACCCTGCATTATTTTTTATTGTACATTTTATTTTGTGGCTCAAGGGATCCAATTCGGTTTTAAACATAGAATACCTTCTATCATATACCTTAACAACATTTGATATACAGTATGATAAATATTAACTATTGAGAGTAATTACTCAAAAGACATATTCGGCTATGAATTTTATTTAAATTTGTGAACAGCCATTTGTTAATGAATTATGATTCTGCGGACAATTTTGATTTTTGTTTACCTGTTCTTTAACATTCATACCTTCAAAAAGTTTGTCTGACCTGAAATTCCATACTGCTTTGCAGGCGGAATTTGTGATGTAGACGAATTGAATCCCTA